GTAGTCGTGGCGGACGGCGCGGTAGGGGTCGGTTCGGTAGTAACGGTGGGGACTTTGGTGGGCCTAACTTTAGCGGCGCGGCTAACGGTGGGGTCCGTCCTATTGGTGGTCAAAATCCTGGGTTTGGCGGACAAATTGGTGGACAGATTCCCACTATTAATACTAAATGATTGCAAACATTTTAAAATGTTTTCATACATTGTTTCTAATTAGAAATATGAATCAATTATTCAAATAATTTAATCTAAATAAAAAATTTAAAATAATAATTAATTTATATTCTTAGGTTCTGAAACTACCCAAATCTAATTGTAAATTAAAATTTAGTAAATATTTGTTGTGTTATAGTTTATTTTTTACAGTTACTAAACGTTAGAATAGTTGTATATATTAATAGTAATTTTATATGTAAAAAGCTATTAAATTATATTTAAGTCAAATTATATAAATGATTAATTAATCGTTTGTTTATAACTTTAAATTAATTAAAATTTAAAACAATTTATTTAAAAACTAAATTGTTAAATAAGTTGTACATTATATATATTTAATGACTATCAATATTTTACAGTTTATAAATTATAAAATAATATTTTATGTATCTAATATTCAGTTTTACAATCAATGTATGATCTGTTTTAATAACTAAATAGTATGTTTGTTATAAATGCTGTGATAATATATATTTAATAATCAAAACTTATTAATAAATTATTGATATAGTTACTATTAGTTATTAAATAATACAATATATTTCCCTTACCATATTAGTATAAAACTTATTTATAATTGTTCGTGGTAACAAATTATTTATTTAAAAAATTTTAAAACATTTTGTCTCTGTACATTTAGATATAGACAAATAAAAGATCAAATAAAAATATTATTTATTAAATATTAAATATATTTCTCAATTTTTGCATATTCAATTTTATTATGATTAACCACAATAAAGAATCATTACTGTATATTTATAGTAACAACATGAAACCATAATGATAAATTGAATTGATTAAATTGTATCAAATATTAGTCATATTAATATATTACATTAATTACAAACACATGTTTTAGACAATTTTAAAACAACGATTTAAATAATTATTTCACAGAAAACAATGATACATTTTAAATTAAAATTCTAGAATTACTATAATGATGGCAATAATTTGTTCTATTATGCAATTTAAGCAGGATGGTTATTTAGTATAAATACTAGTATTAAATTAAATTTAATTCAATAACAAAATAATTATTTCAAATAAGTCTTATTAAAACAAAACTTTATTTCAAACTCTGTTAAAATGTGTAAAACTGTGACAGTTTTAATGTTTATTGCGCTCATTGGTAAGAAATTAAAAATATATATATAGTTTATTTTTAATTACTATAATCTGTGTATTAGTATTGAGTGAATGTCAACAACAAACTCGTTGTTTTGGTGAAGGAGTTGGAGGCGAAGAGTCAGGCGGTAGTCGTGGCGGACGGCGCGGTAGGGGTCGGTTCGGTAGTAACGGTGGGGGCTTTGGTGGCCCTAACTTTGGCGGCGCGGCTAACGGTGGGGTCCGTCCTATTGGTGGTCAACAGCCGGGGTTTGG